GTTAGGTCATTTATCTTTTCGGTCTTTGAAGAGTCTGTTTCCTACTTTRTTTKARTCWGTTKARATGTCAAATTTGAGATGTGAGAGTTGTGAGCTTGCCAAACATTGTAGAACATCTTATTCCTTGAGTAATAAAAGAAGTGGTAATTCTTTTGATATTGTGCATACAGATGTTTGGGGGCCGTATCACATCCCTTCTATGGGTGGGTGCAGATATTTTCTGTTTTTGTTGATGACTATACCCGTTTTTCTTGGGTCTTTATGCGTTCTCGAGATGAGGTTCCCACTCTGACCCAAAACTTTCATCAGATGATTTTAACCCAGTTTGGGGTCAAAATCAAAGTCCTCTGATCTGATAATGCCAAAGAATACTTTGCCAAGCCACTGGCCTCTTATCTACTCGATCATGGGGTTATTCACCAGAGCACTTGTCCTCATACACCATAGCAGAATGGGGTTGCCGAGAGGAAGAATAGGCACATTTTGGAGGTGGCTAGAAGCATTATGTTTACCTCCAATGTGCCTATCCGTTTMTGGGGTGATGCTATCCTCACGGCAGTGTATCTCATTAATCGGGTTCCTTCATGGGTTCTTGATATGAAGCCTCTGTTTACCCTTCTATACCCAGACGAGGAGTTGTTTACTGTTCCTCTTAAAACCTTTGGTTGTACATGTTTTGTTTAGCTTCTCGGACCTCATCATTCCAAATTTGACCCTAAGGCCTCCAAATGCATTTTTCTCGGTTATGCACAAACTCAAAAGGGTTATTGCTATTATGATCCTGTTTCAAGGAGGAGATTTGTCTCGATGGATGTCACCTTCTTTGAGGAGGCACCCTATTATCCTAGGGTTTCTCCTCAAGGGGAGAGTAGTGAGAATTTGGGTCTTTTTCCTCAGGGGGAGCGCAGCGAGAGTGGGGTTAACTCATCTGAGGTTGTTCCTTTACCCATTCCATTGAGTGATGAAGGTTGTAATGGTGAGGGTTGTCAGAGAGATCAGGAGTTGAAAGTCTATCACAGGCGATGCAGGCAGGTTGATCTCGGTCATCAGCAGTCCAAGCCAGCCCCAGTTCCTTCTGCGGATCCAGATCCAGGTACTACAGTCCCAAGGCCCACTGAGATACCTTCCACTGTTGCTACTTCCCCTCCTTCTGATGACCTTGACCTCCCTATTGCGGTCCATAAAGGGAAACGGCGTTGCACCACATCCATAGCTCACTGTATTTCCCAGTTTCTATCCTATGATCGCATGTCTCCCTCTTACAGGTCCTTTCTCACTTCCATTGCTGATATTCCTATCCCCAGAATAGTGCAAGAAGCATTATCAGTTCCAGAATGGAAAGATGCAATGAAAGTTGAAATGGATGCCCTTTTGAAAAATAATACTTGGGAGCTAGTTGACCTACCCAAAGGAAAGAAACCAGTTGGATGTAGATGGGTATTTACTGTGAAACATAATGTTGATGGCTCCATTGAAAGGTACAAAGCCCGGTTGGTTGC